CTTCCCCTTCCATGGGTGATGCATCATCACCTGGCAAAGTCACTGAAGGGGATAAAGATTAGAAAACATTTGGAAAGTGAACCTCCTGGGCAATCCCAGAGAAACCCTTCCCCTCAGTCTGAGGGCAGGCTGTATAAAACAACCTTCCTGGGTCCTCCTCCAGCCACATGAACAGGGAATCACAGCTGCCAAGTTGCACTCCAGTAAAAGATGAGTAGAACCAAATGCTGGGGAAAACACAGTCCCTGATGTAGAATCACAGAACAGAATCCCAGAATGGGTTAGGTTGGAAGGGACCTCAGACATGACCCAGTTCCAGTCCAGTGCCACAGGCAGGGACACCTTCTGCTAGACCAGGATGCTCAGGGTCCCGTCAGCCTGACCCTGAACACCTCCAGGGACGGGATATCCACGTGCCTGGGGAATCAGAAATTCCTGGGTTTGTTCTTTTGGGTGTGCCCAAGAATTTGCCTTCTGTGATTGCGTTTGAAAAGCATGAAAATTTGACCCCCAGGTGGTCTAAGAACTCAATCAACACACAAAGGCCGAGCCTAACCCAGCTGGAGCTGAGCTGGTGTTGAGATTGTGTTTGCATTCTGCAGAGTCATGTTTTGATAACACTCTCAGAGTGTTTATATATATATATATAAAGCTCTCACTCCACTTCTCTCATATTTTAATTGCCTGCAGAACAAGGGCAGGTGTGCTGGGTGGGGATGGCAAAGAGCTGTCCAGAGGAGCACGGGAGAACACTGGAAAGGGATGGAGGAATTTGGGTGTCTACCCAACCCCCAAAAAAACTCCCTGCAAGGTTTGGCCCTGCCATTATTCACTCAGGAGCTCAGAGGTGTACAAGAGGTCCATACCACAAAGGGGGACTAAGATTATCAGCCCATTCCTCCCCAGACTGAATGAAACAATTGAAATTCAGTGAGATTCAGGTTAGATCCCAAACAAGGCCTCCAGGTTTGTTCTGGGGATTTTAATTTAAATTATTCTGTGGTTTGAGGATGAGTAGCAGCTATTTCTTTGTCTTATTTGTGTGTTCTCACGTCTTGATAATGCCCTTTAGAGCCTTAAAAAATGCATTCTGTGAAGTCAACCCTAACCTGCCGTCAGGAAATTTCTCTGGCAAAGTAACCCCTGTGGCTGGAGCACTGGGGATTCCATTCATCTCAGGGGGCCTTCTTTCCTTTCCCTCCAAATGCCCCTTTTTACTCTTTACTATTTCCCTTTTTACTTCTATTCCTTTACTGAAACCCAATGGCTGAGGTGGGATTGCTCTGGAGCCTGGATGGCTCAGGCCCAGATGACCATAAAAATCCCTCAGAAGATCCCCAGCCATCCCATTAACCCCCACATTTAATTTTGTAACTTTTTCAGTCTCTCACCATCTTTAAATCTCAGCACCTTTCAAGGCATCCATTCATTCTTGCGCTTTTTTTTTAAAACTTTCATTCCCTCTTTTTCTGTCATATCCTCTGGTTTCATGGGCATGGTGGTATTCTCCCAAAGGTTGGACTTTTGATGATCTTGGAGGTCTTTTCCAACCTTAATGGTTCTGTGATCCTTCTCAAAGCAGGATCTCAGCCAGCAGAGTGGAGCTGAAGATTTGTCAGGGAGTAACTGAGGTCTTTGTTCACCTACTTTGACATCTCATTTTTCTAAGCAGCTGTTCTCAGCTCTTTATAATGATGTTGATTTGTTTATGAGTTGGTCCAAATTTGCCAGACCTTCTAAGAAAATTTCAGCTCGTCCCTCCCAGCGTTCACGGCAGACTTTTTGTGTGGATGTCTCACACTGTTCACTTTGCTGTGGGATGAAGATAAATCTCTGAACAGAGTGAAATCAGCTGGGACAAGGAATGACTTTCTCTCAGAAGTGTTGAATACACAGGGTTTTCCTGAGGAAACCAAATTTCCATGAAGGCTTTTAATATGATATCACAAAAAAAAACTGACTAAGAAGAGAAAAGAAAACTGTTTCCCATCACCTGTCATTTTCATTTACATTCAGGGAGAATGTTTGTGAAAGCCAGCAACTGGGGTAAGGATTAAAATACCTTGTTTAGATATGAAATATAAGAAGCCAAAGCAGAGGGGAAATGTCACAGAAAAAGGCGCTCTGGTGACAGTCAACAAACTTTCAAGTGTCCGCCTTTGTTTTGGTTTTAAATACATAATAAAAATAATAATTATAATTCTGTCATTCCCCTGACAATCAAGGCCACATCCACATGTTAATTATTTCCATATATAATTTGCTGAACCGCAGCTGAAGTCCAGTGGTTAAATTTCAGTGCTGGTCAAGACTAAGTCCCCATAACCAACAATTTAAAAATCATGTGGTCAAGTTCTCCCCATGCCTTTTAGTATCATTAAAGAAATAAATTGGAACCCTCTCAAAATGCTATTAAACCAATTTACTTCTCCATTGTTGGGAGCTCAAAAGGAAAAGAAACTCTTTTAAATCTAAGTGTTCAGAAAAAACCAGATGTGAAGCTTGCTGGAGGTAAGGAAAATAGTTTGATTGCTTTAATCAGCCTCTGATGAGTCCCAGAAGAAAAATAGGAAAATAATGAACAACATGGAAAAGCAAACCTCTCTTTCATGCCAGAAAAAAAAAAAAAAAAAAAAAAAAAAAAAAAAAAAAAAAAAAAAAAAAAAAAAAAAAAAAAAAAAAAAAAAAAAAAAAAAAAAAAAAAAAAAAAAAAAAAAAAAAAAAAAAAAAAAAAAAAAAAAAAAAAAAAAAAAAAAAAAAAAAAAAAAAAAAAAAAAAAAAAAAAAAAAAAAAAAAAAAAAAAAAAA